ATTCCTGATGGTTTGTCCAATTCCATCATTAGATTGTGAACTCAAACTTTGTACTTATAAGAACCGATGATTTAATCTTCCGTGTATAAGCTAAACTCTATACACTAAATCATCTACTATATAAGCAAAAGACACAGACTATTATATGATCTATTTAAAACTTTATTAAAACTGAATAAACAATTATTTCATAATAAATACTATATCTAAAAAAAACTCATGGTTAATAGTATATATCCCGACAGATACCTCTAAAATATTATGTTAATTTAATTTACTAATTATTACATTTGTTTAACTCGGTTTTTGTATATTTTTCTTCTTCTTTTAATAAAAAAAGAGAAAAAAGAAACTAATTATATGGTGACGTTCGCTAAAAGTTTTATAGTTAAAAAGCCACCTAGATGAATTTAAAACTTGTAATCGATCACAAATGACTGAATTGCATTCAGTGGACAGGTTTTGTTTACAAGGTAATTTACAGCAAATGGTCCTTGGATTATTAATTTAATATTCGTAAGAAAGAATAAAACCACAAAAAGCAATAATAAAGAATAACTTAATAAAATCAATAATAATGAATAAAACCACAAAAAAGTGTTCCAAAATTTAAAATTGGACACGCAAAACTTGCATCTTCAACATTAAAGACAAAAACATTAAAATCTCTAATATTAATCAATCACATTAGGATGAAGCAATATTTAGCCAATAAAACCATGAGTTTGTCTTGCTAACATGTGGGCAAGGAAGGGATACTGATATGCTCTGTGTTTTAAAATTGAAGACATAAAGACGCCATGTACGAGGTAGATGGATTCTCGCTCAATATTAGTGTTCCTTGTGGAGCAAGTTCTCCCAGGAATCACCAAGAAAAATTGCAATTTCGTTAATACTTTTCACTTTCACCCACGTATTTTTTTGCAAAATCAAACTGAAACACAAGAAAACCAAATACCTCACTCACTTCCCTTCCATGAAATAACGTGTGAACATATAACAACATATCATTATCGTCACATGATGATTGAATGAGGTATTGCCTATGAGCTGGTATGTCTAATAATCTTGTATGATTATACGCGAGTTGATCAATTATTGGTGTAACTGTTACTACTCCCGAGTCATCATTTAGATCCAAATTCACTAGAATTTCACGATAAGATGTTAATCCGTAAAATTTTCCCTTGAATACTATCCAGGAGGACAAATTGTGGTTATCTCCATCAATTTGTTGCCAATCTTGTCTATGAAATTCTTGATCATAACATGGCATCATGGGGTGGTGCGGACAAGAGGCACTTTAACTTTAGCGCGTTATACTGATCAATATCTGAGAGTGGTGGTAGCTGAATTTTTTCCTCCAAAGAAGGATTCCAAAGGTAACAATCACCTGAATTTAAGTCTAGTAACACTAGCCACTCATGTGCCATGTTATGATCAAGTACTGAAATTGTTCCGAAGTTCAGATATTATCCTCACGTTGCTCTAATATACTGAAAAATGTTTGCTTTTGAATCTCTTATAACTTTGGTCCTATATGATCCTGTATTTACGATTATGCTTACAATCTGGAAGTGTGAAAATTCTTACAAAATATGCATAGAAAGAAGAAAAACAATTGGATCACAATTTGTGAACTATTTAACGAAGTAGATAAGATGGAAATAGTAGAGCAAGTCATGGCGGTCAGCCAATAATTGAATATTAAATAAGACATGCAATTTTTCCAGAGATTTATTAAAATTTGTTAGCGACTTGAACAGGTAATGATAAAGTTAAGACGCGTTTTCAAATCATATGAACAAAGCAATTTTTTTTAATCCATTTTATAATAATCTATATTATAAAAGTACAAATATTTTACGTTAAATTTTGAACGATAAAAATATTTAAAATAAAATTAATCGACTTTTATGTTGTTAAATATTTTGGAAAAAGATAAGTTCTGCATTGGATAAAATAGTAATATTATCTAACACTAATTTTCCTAATATTTAGTAATTTGATACCAGCTAAATATAGAAATTTTATTAAATTAGTATTCGATAGAAAAGTTCTAATACTATACTAATTTTACCCGTATAGTTACTCGTAAAAATAGTAGAATCCCACATGCTCGTAGAGTTCCTACACCATAACAAATCCCACGTATAAAACAGATATTCTCGCCATTGCAACACCAAGAATTTATATTCACGCCATTGCAACACTAAGTATTTATACATGAATTTTAGAGGTTTTTGTTTCTTTTAGTATCATATTTAGTAGATTAGATTTGGCTCTCTAACACAGTCAAAAGAAAGCTACTGCAGTTAAAAAGTTGAATCTTTAATCGTCCACATCTTTATGCGTTATCAATAAGATATTTGTTGGTTTGTTAGAAAGTTGAATCTTTAATCGTCCACACCTTTGATCAAGCAAAACGTTGTATTGCTGAGTGTTCATTTGAATCCCTCCCTAACTAGTTAGGTTAAGTGATCTTAGTTTTGAAACTCGTATACTAGCCCACATTGTTGCAACTACCCTGCTCCCTCGTACTGGCTCTTTCTTCACCTTCTCTCAACGAGATACCTTTCTTGTGTACTGCCTTGTGACCAAACTCAAGATCAAACTGTCCTCCTGGGTCATAAATTTTATGATTGAAAGTGCTGATGATCCCACAAGTCTGTCCTATGGCATGACCATCACTCACATTCTAGAAGCTCACAATATCTCTATCTCTGAATATCCCTTCATCTCTATTTCAAAATCTTACAATTCTTGGGCGTATGCTAGTATGGGGTATGTGTGTGTGAAGGGCTCCCGGGTTAAGAAACATGAAGGTGAAGTCGAGCATGTTCAACCTGATCCCAAGATCAAAGCCTCTGTTTCCCATCATAGCCTTAGTAATCCTGACCTTGCTGAGAAACTGACTGCAATTGACAACCAGTTGAACACCATCAAAGATCTCCTGGTTGCTACTCAGTCCACGGTTGGAACATACATGCAATGTCCAAAGAGTCAGGGTCTGATGTTTCAAAGATAAGGGTTACAATTCTCAGAGTTAGGGAAAACACAATCAAGACATTCAAGAAAGTACACGACATGCTTGATGGAGTGACTGTCTTATCTATTGCCAGCTTTGAACAACTGAAGGAGACGATTTGCAACACTCTTACTTATTTCCTGCGTTGTTAGTGTGGAAGTTTCAAATAATTTTTTTGCTGTGCTATATCTGGTGTAATCTTGTTTTTATCCCTTTTTTGCTGATGTAAAAAAGGGGGAGAAGACTATACATATACTCGTGCAGGTACATCCATTGCAGGGGGAATCGACTATAGATCCTACATGAGATGCCGACTAAAAGAAGTAGTCCCAACAGTACCTATTGAGGGGGAGTCAACTGAACTCATTGAGGGGGAGTAAATGTGATGACCCTAAATGTCATCTCTTATTTTAGAAGTCAAAACTGTGTTTCAAGGCCTTAAAAACCTCTTTTTGTCTCACCTCAATTTGCGTGCGCAGTCCGCGCACTTCTGAAAAGCTTTTATGTGAAATTTAAGAAAAAAATTGATTTTAACCTTTAAGATTGATTAAAGTTAACCTTGGTCAACATTCTTGGTAAACGGACCTGGACTCATGATTTGATGGTCCCGTAGGGTCCGTGTAAAATATGGGACTTGGGCGAATGCCCGGTGTCGCGCCCTCTTTTTCCTTCGCGGAGTCCGGGTTTGACATTCATTGGGAACAACTCATTTCCTTTTAGGAATTTGGTATTTGAAGGGTCGTCACCTAACGAATTATGGTGCGTTAGGGCACCTAGAGCAATTAACTCATGTAACCAGTTTGTATTACCAGAGATTAGGGTAAGAGCTCGAAATAACCTTGAGGGAAAGGTGTTAGGCACCCCTCGCGGTCCACAATGGTGGGTCCCGGCCGAACTTAGTTATGTGAATTAGTCATTTAATAGGTAAACAGTCTAAGCACACATTTGCAAATAAGGAAATTATATACTGTCTAAGCACACATATATAATCAAGGAAGTTTAGATGGTCCAAGCGCACATATATAATCAAGGAAGTTTAGACGGTCCAAGCGCACATATGTAACTTTTAGACAGTCTAAGCACATATTCTTAAATTAAAGAAGTTTGGACAGTCTAACCGTACGTACATACATTAAGGGAGTTTGAACAGTCCGAGCATACATAAATAAATTAAGGAAGGTAAGTCTTAAGTTGGTTAGCCTATAGGATCACATATGTACAATACCCGGAAAGGTTTCCTCAAATAGAAGGGTTACACGTGGTATTAGCGCACATGTCATC